TTCCTATGAGCTTGGGGGACTCTGCGATGAAGTGGTTTGAGGCGCTTCCCCCCAACAGCATTGGATCGTGGAAGGAATTGACGAGGCAGTTCCTGGCTCGATTCATTACGGGGAGTAAGCGGCCTAAAGACGTTGGATCATTGCTAACGCTCAGACGTAGGGAATCTGAGACCCTTCGCCAGTACACCATCCGGTACTGGGAAGAGGTTAATGAGGTAGAGGGCTGCTTGGAAGTCATGGCAGCGGCGTCTTTCAGGCTCGGCTTGGCAAGGGACACGGACCTGTACCGATCCCTGACCAAAAAGACTCCCTCGGATATGGGCGAGCTGATGGCCCGGATAAACAAGTACTCTAGGATCGAGGACGAGATGGGAAGCAGCAAAGGCAGAACCCTCCAACCTAAGAGAAAAGAGAGGGAGCGGGAGGATACTCCCCGAAAGGGACTGCTACCCCTCCGGGGGTCGTTCAAAGGAGTTCACACTATGTTCAAGGAACCCATCTTCAAGTTGCTCCATAAGATCAAGCATGAGCCATTCTTCAAGTGGCCGCCCAGGATGCAGAGCGATCCCTCCACCCGTGATCAAAAGGTTAGGTGTTCCTATCACCGGGATTTCGGACATCGCACCGAAAGCTGCAGGGTATACAAATCTTTCTTGGAAAGATTGGTCCGAGACGGATACTTGAAAGAATACATAGAGCCCAGGCCGGAAGAGAGACACACCCCTGCCCCGACCGAGGAGCCAGACAACGTCATAGATGTCATCCATGTATGTCCGCTAGATCGCCCCACGTCCAAGGAACTCGAGTCCGATCTCAAGAGGGTAGCTTTTACAAGGAAGATAGCCGAGGATGATGGGGGACCGCCCAGTAAAAGGGCCAGGACTGGCGAGCCTAGCATCATGTTCTCCGACGCGGACTTGACAGGCGTGGTGACTCCTCATAACGACGCCCTTGTCTTAACCCTGAAGATAGGTAAGTTCGACGTCAAGAGAGTGTTGATAGACTCCGAAAGTTCCTCGAAAGTGATGTACTCTGACACTTTAAAACAGATGGGTCTTGGCCTCAAGGACCTCACCAAGGTCAGGGCACCTCTCATCGGATTCAACGGCTCGTTCGCCCTGCCCATAGGCAAAATCACATTGCCAGTTGTCACAGGTCCCTTTATCATCAACACTGAGTTTGTCGTGATTGATACAGACTCTCCCTACAATGTGATCATGGGACGAGTATGACTGCATGTGTTGGGAGCGGTGCACTCCACTTATCACCAGAAACTGAAATTCGCCACGCCAGAGGGGATCATGGAGATCTGAGGGGACCAAGCGTCCGCAAAAAATTGTTTTGATTCAGCTGTTAGAGCAGGGGCTTTCACCTAAAAAAAGGGGCGAGCTCCGAAAAGAGATCATGGAAAAATAACAATCACAGTCCGGACGTCCAGGAATGGATGACCCCCGGATTGACCCAACAGAACGGTCGGTAGAGGACCTCCGGAAGGTGCCCTTGGTGGAGGGAGAAGAAGAAAGACACTTCTTAGTTGGAACCGCGATGCCCGCAGCCGAACAGGAGGAGATGATTGAGTTCCTGAGACGAAATGTAGACGTGTTCGCTTGGAACGCAATGGAAATGACGGGAGTAGACCCCGAAATAATCACACACAAGCTGCATGTTGACCCGGCGCACAAGCCAGTAAACACAGAAGCCACAACGTATGGCCCCGCATCACGCCTGTGCGGTCAACAAAGAAATCGATAAACTCCTGAAGGCCAACGCCATTCGGGAGATACAGTTCCCAGAATGGATGTCTAACACGGTTTGCGCGAAGAAGAAGGGGGGAAAATGACGTGTCTGCATAGACTTCACAGATCTAAACAAGGCATGTCCCAAGGACGACTACCCACTACCAAAGGTGGACCAGCTAGTGGATGCCACTGCCGGATATGAACGCATGGACTTCCTGGATGCCCGAGCAAGATATCACCAGATCCCTCTCTATCCCCCAGATCAGGAAAAGACGGCGTTTATCACTCCAAAGGGAGTTTACTATTACAAAGTGATGCCGTTTGGACTAAAGAACGCTGGGGCAACATACCAAAGACTGATGAATCGGATGTTCAAAAGGCAGATCGACAACACCATGGAGGTCTACATTGACGGTATGCTGGTGAAGAGCAAACGAAGCTGTGACTATCTAGCAGATTTGACAGATACCTTCTCCACCCTTAGGGAGTACGGGCTGAAGCTGAACGCAGCAAAGTGCGTTTTCAGAGTGGAGTCGGGTAAATTTTTCGGATATCTGGTTAGTCAACGAGGAATCGAAGCTAACCCGGATCAGATTCAAGCGATCCTAGACATCCGGAGCCCCCGAACTGTCCGAGAAGTCCAAAAGCTCACAGGGATGCTGGCAGCACTTAACCGTTTCGTCTCACGCTTCTCAAACAAATGCAAACTTTTTTTCGGAGCCATCAAGAGTGCTGGGAAGGATATGTGGAGTCAGGGATGCGAAGACGCCCTGGCTGGAATCAAGGAATACCTCAGGACTCTCCCGACCTTATCCGTCCCTATCCAGGGGAAAATGCTCTTCTTGTGCTTATCTGTATCCGAATTTGCGGTAAGCGGGGTACTTATTCATGAGCATGAGCACCGCCAGAAGCCGATTTATTACATAAGCAAGGCGCTCCTGGACGCGGAGACAAGATACCTGCCCCTAGAGAAACTGGCTCTATCCCTGGTCACCACTGCAAGAAAACTAAGACATTATTTTCAGGCGCACCCAATTACCGTCCTTACTGATCAGCTCTTAAAGGCCATTTTGAGGAAAGCAGCTCAAGACAATGATGAAGTAATTAGGGTAGTTGTAGAACCCTTCGTCTCCTTACGACGCGTGTCCTCGGTGTCAGGAGATCAAAGGCTGGAGGGCAGTTGATGGGACATTTTCAAGTACTCCAAGATTAAGACACGTGTCCTCGGCGTCACTAAATTCTTTTTCTATAAACGCGACACGTACCTGTCGGATCACAAGTCCCTGTTCCCCCGAGATATTGTTCATAGGGATCAATGACATCCAGTACGTTTACATACCGACACGTATCCCTCGGGGTCGGATAGGGTACATTGGTCCTACATGTACCAATCCCCCTCGGTACCGAGATGTACACTCCGTCCACGATGGCGTTCTCTGCTCCTGCAGAGGCTATTGATGTACAGGTCACTAGCCTAGGCTAGACTAGGTTAGCTATCATGACCTCGTCTTACACAATTGGTGTCAAAAGGCACAAGAAGGCAGGGGACACAGCCAATGGAGAATGGACGCGTGGCATATTGTGTCACATCAGAGACAAAAAGACCAGATGCCCTTGCTAACACACGACTTGGGAAAACAAGCATTTAATTACACCATTCCCTCGATGAGATAGCATTTAATGCAGTAAGGCTCGGAAGTGAAAGGTAATAAATGTCCCTAAGGCTTGACATTTATTACATCCTTGCCGAGAGGAGCTCATTAAACAGTCGGCAGGCCGATGACACAGCCTTGGTTGCTCGGGATCCCGAACAGTTAAAAGAGAAGACATTCCTCATAGAAATCAGTGCGCACGTTACCCGTATCTAATGATCACCTACTGACCACACTGACAGCAATCATGAGTATTTGAGGTATAAATACTCTTTACAAAAGGCAAGATAAAGGAAAAGAAGGTGAAACCTTTGCTACAAATTATACTCAGTGTTTTCTTCTTCCTCTCTCTCAAAATTGACTTGATCGTCGGAGGGGATACGCCGGAAAACACTCCAACGCCCTTCTAACTTGTCTTTCTTTGTTCCAGGAACCTTCCTCAGCCTTATTGGATCTTTCCGTTGATCCACGAGGGTCTCTCGTTATCGTTCCAGGTTACCACCGGACCTCACAGGCTGTTCCAAGCAGTAGGGTTGACCACTCGACTGACTCACTCGAGTTCACCAAGGGAGAGATCTGTTCTCGTGTTTATATTGTTCAAGATCCAGCACGCACAAGGGTGAACTTGAGCTAACCCTTTAATAGTAGGATATGAGTAATACAACCGCCTACTCCTTTTCTGCGCCGAAAAAGAATATCGTATGGCCAGATATCTATGTGCTTAATGGAGTAATTTGTGTGTTATTCGCTAATAAAACATTGAGTTCAAAAGCAGAAGCTTGATTTTAACCCCCCCTTGTCGACAGAAATGCCCAATTTAGCCACAACGTGATCAAGTGGCCTGAGAGTTTAGATAAACAACATAGAAAAGGGAAAAAAAAAAAAGAGAAAAAGAGAAATGTATGCGTGAAGATAGTTGGATTCATCCATATCTAAATATACGTGTATATATAGTATACCTGGTCTAGAGTGGGACGAGTGTCAGGAGGAAACCCTAGCAAGACTCTCGCCTCATCAGCGTGCATGACTAGGGTTTTGGGGAAATCCAGCTTTCTTGAGGTTCGAGAAGAAAGGTTTTGCAGTAAATTTAATCGTCACATTTGGGACGTCTTCGGTTGGGTCTGAATTGAAGCCAACCCGACACGACATCCGGGTCGTAAGACGCAACGATGAGATTTTCGGTAAAATGAGTTTCTTTCTACGACCCCTATCCTTTTTTGTACTTTTTTTTTTAATTTTTATAAAGGATAAAAAATTCTTAAATATATTCTCTAATTACAATAACTTATATCCATATTATCAATGGTGAAATTACACCATCTTTAAAAGATTCAACAATTATATTTATTTATTTTTTTAAATTTAAATTTATTCTAATTTTTAAAAAAGTTTATCTTTCATTAAATTTAAATATCTCTATTGGAGAGGTTTATATCAAATTAAGTTTATTGTAATAGAGGAGGCTCATGTTCTTTGACAGTGTATTTCTTGAGGAGCGAGAAAATGATGTCACCTCAACAAATGATAGGTTCATCATATGTTACTTTGAGGGACATGGTAAAGTTGGCACGTCCACAGAATAGGTGGGTAGAGGTATAGGGATTTTAAGCACAATATCATTGATCACATGATCCAATTTTCACATCGACCATTATAGTTAAAGGTGCACAATTATTGGCTACTCTGTTGCTTCAAATTGGAAACAGAAGAAGAGGTACAGGCAATAACATAAAGCAAAGAACCTAGTTGGCTTGGCTACTGCATGCCTCCCAATCCAGAACCAGTGTCAGTGTGTGGCTTGGCTTCTTCTTGTCTGACCATATTTACTATGCATTCCGTCGAACAACTTCAAAGAGGAGAGGCCAATGTAGTCAAGAAACTCTGATTGAAATTTCAATACATGTATATCAGATGCATACATCCAAAGTCTTTATTGAGTACAATATTGCAAAATTACATGGTGTAAAGTGAAAGGATGATGCCCATGCACCTCAAGGCAAGGGTGATGAAGCTGGCCGGCCCTTTGGGCTTGTTTTGGCTTCTTCTAATTAAACCACAACTCTTCAACAGCAGCATGCATGCATGCATGCATATTGGCAAATGCATGACAAATCTTCTTCTGTTGCCTAATGCAGAAAACTAGCTATGCAAAATCTGTCTCTATTAGTTACGCAGCTGGGGAAGTCAGAATAACATCAAAATCACTCAAAGTCCATTCTGCCTCTTCATCTTTGTCACTAACAAAAATTTCAGTTCCCACATCAAGAGATGTCCACACTCTTTTAGCAGGAGGGCTGCTTGGATCCTGCAACCAGAGTAACACCGACCTCAATTAGGTACATTGGCAACACATTTTACTATTCCTATCGTGTACAAGTGGATTTTAAATCACTGACCTGATAAAAGTAGAGTCTACTAGAAAGGCCACCAACATCAAGCTCCCAGGTTTTTGCATCCCCAATCCAGCCATCACCTTGTTTAGTTGGATAGCCATACTCGGCCCACATTGGATGAGGCAGCAACTGGACCAGTTCTTGTGCTTGAGGATTGCTATAAGGATCACAAGTGCTGTATGGTTTTTCCAGGTGCTGGGCATTCCCAGGAGCACAGTAGTAGTGATAAGCCGAATAAGGGAAGTTGGCAGAGTCATTCCTGTAAATTTTAGTGTCGTTTGGAGTGATATGATAAGGAGGACAATTGCCAATATTCGTGGGGCTGCACCAAGCTGGAGTTTCAGGGTTGATGATCATCTCGCTGTATCTGGTTACGTCAGTAAGCACATCTCCATCACAGGAAGCACCATTGTTCTTCCAGCAGCTGCCCATGTCTATCAGGTAGAACTGGCTCTTAGGCCCTCCCCCTTGCTTCACGTCCAAATACAGCCTGACCTTAAAATTAGGCGACTCTGGAAGCTAAAAAGACAAAACTTGTTAATCAGGGACAATATTGAAAATGAAAATGGAGAAGACTAGAGATTGAATTAATTCTTTTTACCAAAGTAATCAAGAAACCAAACAAGCAGAAAAAGCAGCTGAGCGTTTGTTGTTGAAACTTCACTTAAAGCAATCTCATTTTGATACCATACCACATCATATTCATAAAAAATGCAGGGGAAACATGAAAATTTCAATCTCCATAGTTTTAATTCAAACATATATGTTTAAAGGAATTTGGGATGAGAACATTGAGGGGTCCGCTGATTGAATTTTTTGTAAGGATAGAACTAGATCAAAGGCGTGACACCGGTGATTGGGATGGTCTAGGTCAAAGAACTAAGTTATCTCGCACCACCAGCAAACATTCGGTGTGGGGTTATCTGTTTTCTTCACCAAAATCATATGGTTGGTGACCTAATCCAAAAAAAACATTTCTCCTCATGTGAAGGCTATTCCTACTGAAACAATTATGCATTTGACCAAGGCAGGGACCGCACACACACGATTCCTATACGATCATTAATTAATTAAATTAGGGATCATAAAAAACAGTTTATTCATGCACCACCCCATCTTCAAAGTTGGCACTTGAAATTAGTTAGTTAGGGCATCGGTGCCGTAACGTCATATTTAGTGTGCCTCATTCTGATGTTAAAAGTCTTTACGACAATTCTTGTTAAAACTAGGTTCCTAGTCGCTTTCATTTAGCCTATGCACATCGCAAGATACAGTTTTGTCACCAAAAGTCACAATTATTATTTGGATTATGCATACAAATATCATAGATAAAAGTTCATTGGGGATTGTAAATAATATCATCTCTTAAATAGAGATAATAATAATAATAATAATAAGAAACTAAAAGAGAGATGAGATGAGATAGTGCTTACAGTTTTGAGCATTCCTCTGGTGTCATAGTGATAGCCTCCAGAGAACCCTTTGGTTGCATCAGCTCTTAGATACAGCATAAGCCATGGATACAATTTTGAGGTCTTGAGTTTATTTCGGAAAACCCAACTCCCAACACCAACTTCCTTCTCCCACACAACCTCAAAATAAGAAAGCCCAACAACAGCAGTAGTACTAGAGCCAGGGCCAGGAGGACTCAAATCATAGGTGCCATTGAAACCTCCTCTCAATATTGTACCATTACCAGATAAGCTCGTGGGTTGATGGTACAAGAGGGGTTGATTCATACACCCATCTCCAAAGCAAGGAAATCTCCCCGGATTAAAAGGTGGTACCTTTTTCCCATTCTCTGGACACAAACCAGACTTTGTGTCATAGTTTCCATTTTTCAACATCACCATCCAAAACTGCCATGGATTTGGGGTGTCCGTAACTTGACATAGAGAACCCAGATACAGCTCCTTCTCCGCTGCGTAGAGATCGGGATTGTTGGCAGCGTTGGGTGTCAAACCTGGGAATGGCTTCCCCACGCCAAGTTTGTTATCAGCCTCGCTCACTTTGTGATCAATCAAAGGATAGCCTTCCCCTTGACATCATCCCAACAGACAGAAATCAGATCAAAACAAACAAAAATGACACAGGAAATCAGATGACTAAAAAGGGCGGGCGAATATTGTAAGAAAAAAAAATGCCAGAATGTAGCAAAGAAAGGGGGAATGTAACTGAACCCAGAATGGTTTTATCAAAGAAAAATTGATCTGTTTGCCTGTAAAAAAGAAGGGAAGAGAGAGAGACCCACTGCTGAGTATGTTCTCAAGTCTATGTGATCTTCTTCTGTGTTTGGGATTACTCGATAGATCAAAGCAGTCAGCCGCTCTTGGGCTTCCCATGCCAGGAGCTTCTTTGCCAACCTCATTGCAGAAGTTCCAAGCTTCAAAGGCGACTCTGAGTCCATCTCTTCTCATTCCTGGGTCACCCACCGCTGAGAGACTTTCTTCAGGTTTTGCTGCATAAAGACAAAAAAGTGGCAAATTTGCCATGAAAAATACTAGCATAAAAATTGAACTTTCCATGGCTGATTTCATGCTGGGGATAGAGAGACCTCAGGCTCAGCAGATTCTGGGTGAAATAAATAGAGATATACTCGGGAAAATGGCTGGCAGCTTGCGTTTCTGTGCGTCTGTGTCTTCCACCACTCCCGCTATTATTAATACTAGGATGCTTCTTTGGTTTGCGTTTTAATGTAAGAAGAATAATGCTAATTATATATAAAATCTTGCTTTCCTGCCTGCCTTCGCTTTTATTTACCCAACCTTTTCTCTTTTCCCAATTTTGGGTTCATCTTAAACCCCATATTTAAGTGTGTCATAATGTTTGTTATAAAAAATTAATTTTAATTTTGAGTTGTTGGCTAAGGTTCTCCTAAAAGTAATAAAATAAAGTAAAATAATAAAATAAAATTTATTTTTTTACAGATTATATTTTCATTAAACTAAAAGAATATATCATCATCATCATGTATATCAGATTTTGAATAGCAAGCCTCCAAGGCCTGGTGGGCAGTCAGTCATTTATTCATCTAGAATTGACATTGAACTGCTGCCAGTTAATTAACGCAAATTGGAAGTTTTTTTTTTTCTTTTCTTTTCTTTCGGAGGATAATAAGTGCATTAAATCAATCACGAGGTATATCTTTTTTCATGACTGTGGATTTCTCTTTCTTTTTTAGGATAACAAGTGCAATAAATCATATATATCTTTTCTCTCTCTCTTCTGGGACTAATTTAATGACCTCTGAAAATCCATTTAGTTATTTTTCTCATTCGAACGGTCATGGCCTCATTCACCGTCACGATTCACGCGGTTCATCTCATGGACCACGACGAGTCATACATAGTCCAGGCTCCAACCAAGCACAAACAACTATTGAGTTGTGTGTGTGGCGGTGGGGGGAAACGAGCCAGCATTTATTTAAATAAATAAATACTACTTAAATTTACTTCACCAGCTGGGCCTGGGAGAACCTACTTTTGTTTGATTGTTTGACTTCAACGAAAAGCAACAATCTATTCTGTGGTCACAAATAATCTTCTGGGTCCACACGTACCCAGGGGTCAGACCAGTCAACAACCCTTTTTTTTCCATCTTTTCTATAAGAGCAGAAAGGAAGGAATATTTCTTTAATCACTTTGTGTTTAGCCCAAAAAATGGAAATCCAGATGATGGCATCATAAAATACACCCCAACAAAACTCCTAAGTTGCCGCTGCGTAAGACCGACTTGACCTACTCCAGTTAGAGAGGGCAATAGAAAGAAGCGGCGGCGAGGTATACTCTCTATTCAAGGATTCCTTCAAAAAAATTTTGTTCATTTTTAGTCTATTTTCGTTAACAAATATAATTTTTATCTCTATTTTTGTCTCTGTCTGTGAGTAAATTTATAATTCTCGCCCTCGTCCCGTGCCCTGCCTTCACCTCTGTCCCCACCCCCGTCCACCTTACCCGCCCAAGATTAAGTCCAAACCAAAGTCAAAGCCAATATAATCCAAAATTTTAAATAAATCTAAGTTCTAAATAATCCAACATAATTAAAAGTTTATCATTTACAACATAATATAATTAAAACCTTATCTACAACATAATTAAACATAATATAATTAAAAGTATGTCTTTCTTATAAATTCAATACAATATCGTATAACACAATATAATGTAACATAACATAATCCAACATAAAAAAAATATAAAAACACAAATATCTACATTTTTACAATCCAAAATCATGAAAAAAAATTAAAAAATAAAATAATTTTCAAAAGAAAAAATATATATATAATAATAATAATAATAATTGATAAAATGGGGCGGGGTGGGCAGGGACAAGAGTAAATGTCAGTCCATTCCCGTTTTCATCCCAGCTCGGGCTTATACGGATATCCCTGTAGAGGTCCATCGTCTAATACGTATGATCCATTTTCGGTCCAAACGGGAAGGGTTTAGACGAATACCCATTTTTATCCGGTCCACTGTCATCCCTAACTCTAGCTCGTCTAGAACCTGCAAGTTACCAAACAATATTCAAATAGCTTAACCTTAGTCAAATAAGTTCAGATTCCATAACCAGAAGAGAGATAAAGTTTAGTAAAGAGGATTACTCGTATATAAACATAAGATGTCCTACGAAAAGAGGATTGAATCCTCTGCAAACACTACCCTTCCTCTTCATCAGTATTTAGAATACACACATGAGTAAGAGATCTTATTGACAATAGACTAGCCTTGCGATTCAGCTTGGTGAACCACACATACTTTTGTCTGATTATTCGTTCTGTGATTGTTATCTCTCATAGTTTTTATTCATCTTACATTTCAACACTCATACCTTCTCATATCTTATTTTTCACACTCTCACCAAGAATATTCAATGAATTGATATTTTACATTCCCAGACTTGCTAAGAAGGTGTCACGTGCCTAAGTGGTGGAAAGATGGTGAATTACTGTCATGTTTAAACAAGCGGAAGATATATACTGGGAGTTATTATTGAATAATCGTCAATGGAAGCACAACCGTGAAAGAAAATAGCTATAAAAGGAACAATAAAGAAAGAAGGAGACATATAAAAGGAACCATAATGTGACGTCATACTAAGTTAACACATATTACAAAATGGTATCCCTGTTGAATATGTAATAGAGAAATCATGTTACCTAGTTGAAAAAGAAGCATCATTGAACAAAATAGGACATCTTATTATTCGATTTGGTTTTTCCAAAAAATAGCTACTACATAATGCGATATTGAACATAAATTTCAATGAAATTGATTTACTTATTATCTTTGAAAACACTATCAAAAGTATGACGGATTTCGTTCAAAAAAATTACTAAAATCTAACAAAAATTAGAAGTTCAAGCTTTTTGATTTGGGTTTCTATGATGCGACATTGAACATAAATTCAAATGAAATTGATGTATGTTATTATCTTTGAAAACACAATAAAAACTATGATGAATTTCGTTTAAAAAAAAATTACGAAATCACACCAAAAATTAGAGCTTCTGATTTTTCATTTTGGGATTTATGAAAACAATTAAAAAAATAAATGAAAAAATCACAAAACTTATTGTTAAAGAATCAATTGTGTAACACTAAAGTCGGAACAACTCAGCGAAGAGTCACTCTATGTCGACACCAAAACAACTCACATATGTCGGAACAACTATTAAAACTTGCAAAACTTACTGTTAAAAAGTCATTATATGCCATCGACAGAGTACAGTTAACAACTCAAACCCTCAAAGAAGTTCATAAGCTTCATCTTTAGAATTATCGAATACAAAGAGAAACAATGTTTAAATTTTTGAAATAGAAAAAAATTGAGGAACGTGGAAGAATGCTAGTCGAAAATGTGAAGGGTTCGTGTTTAGTCTTTGCAAGAAAAAGGGGATTGCATTAATTAGTTTCTAAAAAAACCCATTTATTTCTTGACTTTTTAATTTTTTTAATGCTTAAATGACTTTTTCTATGAAAATGGACTTTTGTCCAGCACATTTTAACCACAAGACTTTTTCACCTAAAGTTGTTAAAAAATGCACTGGCCCACAAAACTCCCTATTTGTTTGCTTAAGTCTTTTTAGTCTAAAATTTATTTGGGCCATATCAATTCAAGTGTTAAGTTCAGAATTATAGTTTGGGGCCTCTAAGCAAACATTTAATTTAATTTAATTTAATTGGCTACCTATTCAGCCTGCCCTATCTTTGACTGCTCACAGTCAGATGTCTTATGACATTATCCCTTATTTGAAATCAGTTATGGTGTAAATAGTATCCATAGGGCATACATACATACATACATGTGTGTGTGTACACGCAAGCAATAAGATGATGAAACTTTCATGGTTATATATTGTATAGTGCATTGGGATTAGGATTAGGTTACTTACTCTACCCCCACTAGCTTCACTGATTAGCATGCGCGCGCGTGATACTAATATATGGAGGGGAGGGGGTCGTCGGCACGGCGAGGCGAGGCGAGGCGAGGCAATGCCCTTTTCTTGTATCAAAAAATCCAAAACAATGGTACGTGTACCTGAAAGAAAAGCTCATGTTCTCCATTATAATTATTTTTGATGATTTATAAATATTATGATCAAACATGAAATATTGTGATTAATCATCAAAAAATTCACTCTTTTATAACTTCTTCACTTTTTTTTTTGCTACTAATAATTTTACTTTTAAAATTTGTTGTATTTTTATGATCGATCATAAATTTCTGAGTTCTAATTTTTGGAATCATACCTTCTCTTTTGATTAGAGACAGTTTTAACTAACTAGTTAATATTGTTTAATTCAACCTCAAAATTTAGCAAGAGTCCATATTTTGATCAAATCATGAAAAAGAACCTAATATTTTATCTTCATTATAAAAAAGAGTTAATTACCAAATATCCCCTTCAAATTTAGATTATGTTACAATCCACTCCTTATTATTTTAATTTAAACAATTTGTTCCCTTCCAATTTCCACTTAACTAAATTAACTGATGAATGGATGGAAAATGTAGGTGTCCAAAACACCCTTTCATCTATAATCCTCTTCTTCTTTTTCCTTTTTTATTTTTTTTTTTTCTAACTCCCTTTCCCTCTATGTTCATGAAGAGAGTAGTCAACACCTTCACATCTCTACCTTCACTTTCACCGCCAAAGCCAACCGACACACCGACACTATCATCACTTCTGCCACCACCACTAAACACATACTTTCATAACCAACTTCAAATACAGTTCTACTTGCAATTCTATTCCATTAAAAATATATTTTTTCTTAAAAAAAAAAATCATTCAATCAAAAACTTCACTACTTCATTGATTAATAACCAGCGACTCCGGATGCATAATAGGTTGAAGCAGCAACACCACCCCAGGTTTCCACTGGCGGGCGACCCCAAATCCTAGTCACCATAGTAGCTACGGCCCACCATCCCCCCCCCAACCAACCCAAAAAGGAAAAGAGAAATAACAGCCTTGGAAGAATGTAGTTGGCTGCAGCCTTAGGAAGACTAGTACGGTAGTGGTACACACCGGTAATTGGTAACATACATGAATACATACATACACATGATATGAGTTGTGTTGGGAACTAAACATATATTCCAGTCCGCCCAGCAGAATGTTTACTAAATGA